AAAATAATAATAGTAATGACAATACCAGTGGCTTCATACTTCCAGGAATATGAACTACATAGTCAAAAAGCATTGTTTGTGTCCAGAGTGAGAGTGTGAAAAATTTGACAATAAATCAGTGAAACAGAGTTTCAAAAGTAAGTTTCATGTCTTTTTATTGACATTTTAAACATTTGAATGTATAACATCGCAACAACAAAAAGAGCATTTACTCATTTTTCACATTTTCAATGTTTTTTGTTTTAAAGTTATGTTTTTCTGTTTCAGTTCTTTGGCAGTTTGAGGTTCAGCTGCCATCATTTTAGCTCCATATTAAAGAACATCAACTCTGTTCTGAACTCTGAAGGACTTCCTGACGAAGGCGCCCAGCCTTGAGAAGAGTCCTTTCTGGGTCTCGGCTCTTTTGTGTATTTTCTCCCTGAAGCAGTTGAGGATGATCTGGTCGCACAGCGGCTGTCCTGAGCTCAGGCACCTCAGGGTGACCATGTGTGGGCGGCCCAACTGTTTGTACAGGTCCTTGTGGATGCTGCTCTGCAGGCTTTTAAAGGTCTCCGCTGAGATCCTGAAGTCGACTTTCTGGGCTTCGGCCATCAGTTTGTCCTCCAGCCGCTGGCTGATGGCGTCAAAGATGCTGGAGCTCAAGTTCACGTCTGCTTCACAGATCAGACGCAGAATCAGCGTCTGAACGAGCAGGTCGACGGATAGTTTGCACATAATTTGTCTTTCTTCCGCTGTGTGCTGGCTTTTGGGGCTGGACGCTGAGCTGCCTGTGGGAGGCTGCTGGGTGCTGCTGGTGGAGAGCTCTGGGCTCTGGGCTGCTTTCGGGCCGCTGGCAGCAGGGGGAACCTGGTCCTGGGGCTCCTGGTGGCTAGGAGCCTTTTGGGGGGAAGTGGCTGCTGAAGACGAACCATGGCTGCATGGAAAGAGACACACGACGGGCTTCGGGATGTTTAGCGACAGCCTCTCAAAGAGCGAGAGCTTCCTGGTGACGTGCTTCTTGAAGGAAAGGCCGATGAGCTGGTCGGTAAATGGCTCCGCTGAGCCCTTGCACAGCTCGGCTATGAGCTGGGGGAAGGACACGCTTTTGTAGAGGTCCTCATAAACAGTGTTGGGGAGGTTTTGAAACCTGTCAGCAGGGATGTCGAAGTCTAACTCCTCCACGTGGGGCCAGATCTGCTCAAACAGACGCCGTCTCAAGACTTGCCCGTCGCTCCCAGAGCCCACCATTCCTGCTCTTTGGAAGACCAAAAAGACCAGCTGCTTCACAAACTTCTGGACTAAGACCTTGCTTCTTTCTTCTTTTGCTTGTGGCTCAGGGACTTGGTGGCCTGGCTGCTGATGCTCTGACTCACAGGAATCCGAGGAACTCGTATCCACAATGGGG